TTGTGTCTGAACTCACTTCTGTTTCATTCGTCACTCTTGAAATGAAAGGTGAAGGTACGTGCATTGTGTGATATAGTATTCTGTGCATACTTTGCTGTATACTGCAGATTTTCACAAGCACATCTGTTTATTCCATGCATGAAGACACACTGCATAATAAATAAAAAGCACAAAAAGTATAGTACGGTATATTCCAAACCCTAAGTAATTTGCATATACAGTAAGAGTACTTCAGCTGCTTCCTCTGTAATGAACTCAAAGTGAGTGTGCCGATGCACTTCCTGACTCACAGCAGGAATTCGAGTAGCAGGGCTAATGCATGCGTGTGTGTACGTCCTGCCGTGTTTGAGACTGCAGCTCAGAGCCCCTTGTTACACAACAGGCTCACTAGGCTATTCACACTTGTGTTGCAGTGCTGGAGTCTGCACGCCATCGACCCCGCTGTGTCCTAGCTTAACCGCTACTCAGGGAGAGCTAGTATGTCTGCATCTCACTAACACTGCTGCTATTGAATCTGTTGGATATCAGGCATTAGTCTCTAAATATGGCCATGATGATATCTGAATCTTTAAAATATGTCTTCACATTTTCAGTGACCTTGTATACCTCAAGTTACTGTGTGATTCTCATTATCTCAAGGTGATGTTTGTCTCAAATAGAAGTCTTAAGAATGTCAAATGGAACCTGGTTATTCATTAAAGGGGTCATATGATGCAATTTAAATTTATCCTTTCTCTTTGGAGTGTTACAAGCTCTTGGTGCATTAAGAAGATTTGTAAAGTTGCAAAGACTAAAGTCTCAAATCCAGAGATATTCTTTATAAAAGTTAAGAGTCAACCACGCCTACCTAAAATGGCTCGTTCTAACACGCCCCCACATGTCTACGTCACGATGTGGGAAGATTTGCATAACGCCGCCCAAATGTTCACGCAAAGAAAGAAGGCGTAACTTTTATTCTCGCTGTAGTATTGTTGTTGCCGCCGCTGCCATGTCGTGAAGACGCTGTGTGTTTCGTTGTGAAAGCGAAACTACTTTGTTTGGCCTTCCAAAAGAATACGATATCCGCTTCATCGTGCCTAGAGATGATCCGTGCCGGTCGCTGAGGAAATACATCAACTTCACGATGTGGATCGCCGGATCGGCTTTCACCGTGGACGAAGCAGAGTCGCAACGCGTAAAAAGACAGTATAAGTCATTATAATCCGTAATTATGTCCCCACTGGACGCAACAAATGCCTCGTTTATAATGTCTTTTAATGTTTTTGTCTCTACGCTCCGGCTGGACAGGGCATCACAATATGGTAAGGGGCGTAACATATCCGTCACACGCTTGAGGTATTCGGCCAATCACAACGCACTGGATAGCTGGCCAATCAGAG